CCCCACTTACTTGCCTTCTTGGCTGTAGGGTGTTTCTCTTCAGTTTAGAGGCCACTTTCTTTCGATGAAGCAGAAAGCTTTTCAGCTTTAATGAGAATCCCATTTATCTATGCTATCTCTTAGTTGCTGTGCTGCTGGGGGGTTTCTATTGAGAGAAAGTTCTTACCTATACCTACTAACTCCAGAGTATGTTCCTACTTTTCCTGTTCAACTTCAGAGGTTTTGGGGTCGAGAGAGAGATCCTTGATCCATTTTGAGTTAATCTTGTATAGGGGTGATATAGCAATGGATGCTAGTTTGTCAGTTTTTTTCAGGATGCTAACCAGTTTTCCACAGCAGTTTTTGTTTTGAAGAGGCTGCTATTTTCTCCATCATAATATTTTAGCTCCTTTGTCAAAGAGCAAGTTGGTTATAGTTTGTGTGGCTTCATATCTGGGTCCTCTAAGACACTGTTCCAAACTGGTTCAATAGTCTCTGTTTTTGTGTGCCAGTACTATGCCTGTTTTTGATTGTTATTGGCTTTGCTAATATACGTTTGAAGTAGGTATTGTGATACCTCCTGCGATGTGTGTTCTTATTTGAACTGAGTTATTATGCCGTGGGCTATTCGTGGCCGTCTTGTGTTTTCCAATATAAAATTTTAAACAGTCAGATTTTTCAACTCGCTTAAGTGAATGTCATTGGAGATTTTGATGGGAATTGCATTAAACATGTAGATTACTTTAGGGAGTATCGACATTTTTAACTATGTTGATTCTACCAATCCAGTGAGCATGGGGAGATCTCCTCCACTTTTCTAATAGTCTTCCTCAATCTCTTTCTTCAGAAGTGTATAAGTGTTTCGCTTGTAGAGGTCTTTCAATCTTTTGTTAAGGTTTACAAGCTAAATACACCCGAGAGGTATTACAATGGATGGATTGATGTTGTGGCATGGTTTATATCTTTTTAATTTGAGAAAACAAAGCCCTGAAGCTTGCATTGAGAGCTGTGTTTTAGCAAGGACTTCAAGCCTGCTTGTTCAGAAGGTCTGGTCAGAAGGTCATAGGGCACAATTAGGAGGGAGTACAATGTTCTCTCTCCTCTACTCTGTGAGGTACTTCATTTGTTACCCATCTCTCCAAAGCCACTCAGCTTCAGATGAGGATTCAGTGCCACAGGGACTCTGATACCAGAGTGACAAATTGTATCCCAACCAGAGACTAGGACCAAGCTACAGTCCTACTTTTCCAGATAGCCATCAGGTATCTCTCCTCTGGGATTCGGGTCAGTTTTTTGGTGACCATATGGAAAACACGCCGCATGGATTCTCCCAGGTGGCTGCTGAGCTCCTCTGTTATGCTAATGGTTTGCTGTGCACACCAGAGAATGCTCTGGGTTCTTCAAAGGGAAGGGAGGAGGCTCACTCTTCTTCACTGCCTCTACTTCAATGCTGGCTCTTAGTATTGTGGCACCAAGTGACAGAGCCACCATAAGCGGACCAGAGTGTCGGCAAGGGCTTCTGTCTGCCCCAAAGTGGGAACAGCTGCCTAGGCTGGAGATGTAGCTGTTGCCATAGATGCCTCCGGACTAGGCATGGCTCCATTTCCTGAGCATCCCTGGAGGCTCAAGGTGGCAGAGCTGTGCCTGGTCCCAGTGGCAGGAGGTAGAGGCCCCACCTGGGGTTCACTTCTCATACATGGCTCCCCCAACCTCCTGTGCTTGGAGAGGCCGTGTTGTCAGCGTGTAGGGACACTGTGTCCAAACCTGGTGAGCCTTGCTGGTTTTCCCAAGTCTATGCAAGGAAAGCATGGATGGCTGTGAATGATGGTCCTCACCTCCAGCTGCACACCAGAATCCCTGTGAGGCTTTCTGCATGCTCAGCTGAGGGTGAGAGGGTGGACAGGACTGGAGGAGGCACCTAGGCAGTAGCAGTCTCTTGTGAGCTTCTGACACACAGCAGAGGCTAAGAACCACTGGTCTGGAGACACTGAGGACTGATTGTGGGCACTTTATATGCAACATGCATTAGTATTTCATCGCCATGTCACATGTGCTCTGCAGATGCTCAGAGCCTTGCATGTGCCTTACATGTGACAAATATTACCTTCCCTGATGGTGGTGATGTTGGCTGTGGGCAGAAGAAACAAGCACCCGCCTTGGTCTTCTTACAGTGAGACTTCCTAACTGTGGCTCTGGTTGGATCTTGGTTTTGCCTTTAAGTCCCATCGACATCTTAGCAGACATAGGGGCCCCTTGAAGTTGATGAAGCTGAGACTTCATTTCCCTGCCTGTGCCTTTTGGAGGCCAGTTCTTCACTTTATACTCAGATTGTACCTTCATTCAGATTGTGCCTGCTTAGCAAGTGTGAGTCCCTGAGTTCAAATATCAGGACCATCCAAAAAAAAAAAAAAAAAGAGTGACAGAGACTAGAAAACTCTCTCTCTCTCTCTCTTTCTCCAACCCTTCCCCACTTCCATGTCTCTCACCATGTGACACTCCATAGCATCCAGGGATTCTGCCAGGAAGAAGACCATCACCAGATGTGGCCTCTTGAACCTCCAGAACTGTGAGCCAAAAACCTCCTTTTCTTTACAAAGTTACCCAAGCCATGCGACTGTGTAATTTACAACATAAAATAACACTGCTATACGTGCCGACTCAATCACAACATGGCTATCTCCTGATACACTGAGCAGGCCTGGGGCTTGGTCTGTGTGTCACTTGCCTCAGTGCCTCGCACATAAGTATGCAATGACACCATTTTCTTTTGGTTTTGGAAGTACTGGGCTTTGTGCTCAGGACTTCCGGCTTGTTAGGCAGGTGCTCTACTGCTTGAGCCATGCCTCCAGCCCTTTTTGCTCTGGTTATTTTGGGGGTAGGGTCTTGCTTTTAACTCAGGCTAGCCTTGACCACAATCCTCCTATTTTAAGTTCCCACTATAGCTGGGATGACAGGTGTTTGTTACCATACCCAGCTATTGTTTGAGAAGAGGTCTCGTCAAAAAAAAATTTTTTTTTTGGTCCAGCAATTTTGAACGGCAATCTTCCCTTGAACAGAAATCTTCCCTAGATCAGCTTCCTACACAGTTAGTATAACAGGGTAGAGCCACTAGTATCTGACTTACAATAACCATTTGTCAACAAATGAATGAATGAATGAAGGATGGCTCTGATAACTCAGTTGTCCTTCAATAACAGACATGAAAAATCCAACCTCTACCTCAAATGCCACAGAGAAGAAAGCTATTCCAAATAACAGCTCAGTTTGAGTTAGAGCCAATGCCCTGGAAAAAGGCACTGACCTTTTGACATTTTGTTCCCTGACCTAAAAAGTTCCACAACTTATTGTAGATTTTCTTATTCAGTGACTGATTATTCACACCTTTGGTTTCTTACTTTTCCTTGTCTTGAAGCCTGTTTTCCAGTCTTACGCTAATAGTGACGGTGTATTGAGCCCTTGCTGGGTGCCCTGTCTTGAATTTTACATAAACCAAGTGCTATGTCATTAGCTTTTCAATCTTCATTAGAACTACAATTAGAGAAATAAAGAAAGCTTAAAAGTATTAATACATTGAACAGAGGAAGGCTGAGCACTTGTCAGCACGTCTTAAGCTTACAGGGAATGGAGATTTAACTCTGCTGTGGAGCAGTTATTCTCCTTGGCCTTGGTTTTCCCCCAGTGTGGGCAAGAGAGCTAACTATATTGCAACCACGACTTTGTTTAAGGTTCTAGGAGCATTCTTAGCTTTTGCAAGTAGACAAATCAGTCTGGCTAGTTGGAAAGATAGAAGATTTGGTATAAAAAGAAGGAGAAAGTGAATAGAGAACTTGAGAAGAAGCACAGAAAACTCAAAGGTCACTGGGAAAAAGCATTAGGAGAGTCAGGAAGAAAGAACAGCAAGGAAGAGGTATAGACCCAGTGACCTGGGAAAACAGGGTCCAGTTGACTTCTTACCCACATACGTGGTGCAGAGGGGCTCTTGAGATAGCCTCAAAACAGTACCCTCTCCTGCAAAGAGCCAAGTTCTGCTGAATTGTTCCCTGTAAATAATTCCTCCATGTGTGCTGAGGATCTATATTTAGAACTTAAGTGACTTACTGATGAACTGAGTGAAGGACTACTTTTTTCTATCACTTTAAACATGAAATTGGCTAAGGACAGATGTCATTAACTGGATAGTGTAAGATAAGCTCAATATGGAGAGTGGCTTTCAAGCCTTGTCTTGGATAACACAGCTTGGAAGGCAATCTGGAATGACATAATGGACCAAAATTGCCTTCTCTTTCCTAAAGCAAAGGAGGTTTTGATAAGATTTTAATATGTATTTCAGTGTTGAGCGGTATACCATCCATCTGTCACTCTCTTCTAGAGATTCTGAATGACAGCACGTGCCTCAAAGATATTTTTCATTATAAACTCCCAATTTGTTCTGGTCTGAAAAATGTGCGTGAATGAAAACAGAAAATTCAAACATGGTGTTCAAACACTGCATTTTGTGTTTCCCTGGACCTTGCAGACCCTTCTTAGCTTCCCTTCTTCTCTGGTGAATGACCTGATTTTTTGGTCACTTCTATCACATAAATCTCCCACATTTTTAGGACCTCTTTATTTTTCACCTCTTGTGGACCTAGGACCTCTTACTTTAGATCTCCTACTTCCCATTGCCCTGTCCCAAAACTTGAGAGAACCCAGGTTGGCCTCAAGATTCAAGAGAAGGGTTCATTTCTCCAGAGCATACACTCCCCCAGAAAATAAGGAACATGACAGCCCCACATGGCTCTTTTGTCTATCTGCTCTGGGAGATCCAAGCCAGGCAGATAGACAGCTTAGGTTTCCATAGAAACACAAAGAGAAAATTACCTGGGGAGCTCACAGAGGATGACTGTGGAGAAATTTTGTATACACTGTGTTTAGCAGGGGATTGGTAAACCCTTAGGCTGCAGGTGTTCACGTCTTAACTCACATCAACCTCTTCCTCTCTTGAAATGAGAGTGGTTAAGCCCACAGAGGAGATTGCTTACCTTCCTCGGCTTCACTTTATCATGATAGTCATACTGGAAGATTCCCTTGTAGCTCAGGCCCAGCCACCATGGTATCCCCTGCTTGTCCTAGAACATCAAAAGGAGCAATGGTAAACATGGAGCTGGCGAAGACAAACACAGACCCAGAGATTTCCTGGCTCAGCTGATTGGACTGGATGGAGCCCATCTGCACACTTTTTACCTTGACAGATGTGCTCATCATAGAAGGATGCTCAGTTATCTTAACAGGGTGACCTGGACTGACTTCTGGGCTGAGGAATTTAGCTCTGCTTTTACCAAGCAGCACAACCCCAGCACCTTTCAGTGCCTCTGTTCTGTTGGTTCTTTTTTTTTTTTGGAGGTACTGGGGTTTGAACTCAGGGCTTCACACTTGCTAGGCAGGTGCTTTAGTAATGTGAGTCACAATTCCAGCCCTTTTGTGCTCTGGTTATTGAGATAGGGTCTTACTTTTTGCCCAGGGTGGCCTAGACTGCAATCCTCTTATTCATGCTTCCTGCAGTAGCTAGGATGAAATGCATATACCACTGCACCCAGCTATTGGCTGAGATGAGGTGCCATAAACTTTTTGCCTGGGCTGATTCCCTCCCTCTATTTATGCCCCCCAAGTAGCTAGAATCACAGGTTAGAGCCACCGTTTCCTGGCTTTTGTTCTGCTTTATGTGTCTAAGCCTTCCAGGTTGGGACTGCATCATACAGAAAAACTCCAGAGATACTGAACATCTTAAAAAAAAAGGAACACCTTTCTGAACAAAGAAAGTTTCATTGACTATCAGAACTAGAGGAGACCCCAGAGACCAGAGAAGGGGACTCCTCCCTTTTTAAAGACAAAGAAATCAAAGCAGAGAATTACCTTGCTTTAATCTAAGTTAAATCCTCCTCAGCCAGAGCAAGTCAGTGGCAGCACAGGCTGGCATCTGATATACTGCTCACTCATGAGGACAGCTGGGTACCAGGCAAGATTTTAGATTCACGCTGTTGGACAAGGTAGCAAATAGAAGCCGAAACATTCTCAGGACTGAATTAGAAACACCAAGTTTATGCATTTCACAAGACCTCATGCCACCTGAGAATAAGGTGTAATTCTATATTCAAATAGAATGATTCTGAGTTGTTAATAAGAGCTTCCAAATACTAGGATTTTATGGTGGGCAAACCAAGGAGCATTTCCCCAAGATTTTCACTAATTGCCAGGTCTCTGAATAACCTAAAATGCCTCCATCACCGGTGTCTTGATAACACAAAATTAGGATGGGAGTTTTCAAATATTTATGGGGCAGGGGTTATTTCAAGGTAATCACAAAGATAAAAAGCTAAAGAAATAAATTCTGGAAAATTACTTAAAATTTTAGAGGTATATGATTTCTTTAAAAAAAATGTTTTTTTGCTTTGTTTTTTTTGGTGCTAGGGATGGAACCCAGGGTCTCAGGTAAACTAAGCATGTACTCTACTGCCAAAAAAAAGTTAAAGGTGGAATAAAATCCTTATCCTCACCCTGTCTGTGGGAAGTACCTGGCACTTCACTGGTTTCAGAGAATAGAACAGAGGGAACCTGATACCACTGTGACATTAGATTGACCAGATAAATGTTATCATTACTCAGTAAAGGTATGGGGGGGTCCCTGAGATTACAAGGCCATCAAACAGTGAGCTTGGTACAAATGGGTTGCACTTGTATGAACTTGGCTGTTCTTTTCCCAATAAATAGTACAGCAATTTCAAAACCAAACATCCATAGTCCTTGGGCACTTTGAAAAGTATAAGCTCTATTTCTGGTCTCCAACATTCTGAAAAAAAGGCCATTGTAAAGGTTTTGTGGGAAGGCAAAAAGCACATATATCAGAGGCAGTCTTTTTGTGAAGCTGTAGGGCTGACAAAGGAAAGGACCACAGGCTGAAGCCATGTAAAGACTGGGTGAAAGCCTCCTGTATGTCAAATTGTCTTCCAATACCTAGAAGTCTTCTATGGGGGTACTTGGGGAGGTAAATTTCTTAATCTTTTTTAGTGATAAGAGATAGAACCGAGTTAAAACTTACACATCTCTATGGACTATTTCCACAACTGAGAGAAACCCTAATGGATTGATTTCTATGAAATGCCTCTTGTCATCATGTCAGGAACTCTTGTTGGATCCATGTGCTCCTTTATGGATGGGAATAAGATAGCAATGGGCTCCACAACTCTTACCCATCAGTGTGATTGAGCCTCTTTTGAGGAACACTTGAATTTCCTCTTGGGGTCCTGACTGACCACATTCCAGGACACAGCATTATCTAGAGGTAGTCTCTTCGAAAGACTCACTGTCCTCATATGGGACACAAGAGGGTCCTGGAGGCCAGGTCACCCTGCTCATGACACTATAGCTTAAGCTCAAGAAAGGCAGGGTTGGGTGTGATGGTCATATGAGTTCTGTGAATGAGGGTGAGGAAGGATTAAGAATTCCCATTGGTGGGAAGAACTTTGGTAGGGTAACAGGAAGAATTTAGCCCATCTAGCAAGAATTTGTCCCATCCAGGCAAGCTGTTGGATGGGCTAGAGTCCCCACAGGTGTCTCACAGCTCTGGGCTCCACAACAGTAGTTTTAACCCTTGTTCCCATTATGGAAATAACTCGATTGGATTCCCCACACATTTCCTCAGCACATGTTTACTGAGCATCCACTAGGTGCCAAGTGCCATACAGGGTTCTGGGACTATATATCAGAATATAGACATAATCTTTGCCATCAAAAAATCTGAAGTTTAGCACTGGACAATTCAATTTAGGCAATTCAGTGCCAATGGCATACAAAGTGTGGTGCAGGCTGCCATGGATGACACAAAATGAATGAAACAAAGTACATATTTTAGTCTAAAAAATCAGGAAAATATTTGGAAGGAAATGGGGAAAGACATGAAATGTTGCCTGGTGGAAGGGTCTTGAGTCCAGAAATGTTTTCTGCTCTTTTGATTGGATGTTGAGTGATGGCTTACTTAAACTTTTCACATAAGGGTAAATGAAGTTAGGACAAGGAATTGATGGGGGGATATCTTTATGTATTACTTAAAAGGAGAGATCCTAGTCTGGCACATACTGAATAAAATTAAAGAGAATTTAATATGACATCAATGACACATTCATTGGCTTTGCCACTACAATATTTAAAAACACATGTCCTGTCTTCTTTATATTTATTTATTTAATTTATTTTGGCAGTTTTGGAGTTTGAACTTAGGGCCTCACACTTGCTAGGCAGGTGTTCTACCACTTGAGCCATGCCTCCAGCCCTTTTTGCTTTAGTTACTTTTTTAGATAGGGTCTTGTATTTTTGCCCAGGCTGGCCTCAGACCTTAATCCTCCTACCTATGCTTCCTGTGTAGCTAGATCTGTACCACGTGTACCACCATACCTGGCTTAAATGGGGTCTTGCTAATTTTTTGCCCAGGCTGACCTTGAACCTTGATCTTCCTTTGTCACTGCCTCCTGAATAGCTGGGATTATAGTTGTGAGTCAGGACACCCAGTCCCATATTCTGTCTTCTTCCATGGTCATGTACTGAATTCGTGAGCCTACAATCCCAGGTCTCCTCTTAAAAAAGTTGACAGCTTGGCATCTGACTTCTAAGAGAACCATTAGATGCTGCTGAAAGTTTCTGTCTCCTCCAGTCCTTTGTGTTTGATGGAATCTTCCCACCGACTCCATCTCCCAGGATTCCTCTGAGAGTGAAGGGAAGAAGGGATTTATGCTACTATTTCACAAACGAGAAATGAGTTTTGGAGAGTAACTGTATCAAGTGTGAGTGCCCTAGGGATAAAACTCAGTTGCTCAATTTCCCTCCCCAAGCATTCTTCCTGACCAAGTCATCCTCACCACTCTGACTTCTCACCCCCTAGACTTTCAGTTTAAAAACAAAAATAAAACATGAGAAGTTTTGCTCATTTTTAAAAATTTTTTTAAGCACAGGTATGCAACCTTCACCAAATGAGGTCACTTACCTTCACTGCATAGTAATGAACCCCGTAGGTTGGGAGAGACTCCACGATGCTCATGTAGCTGGGAAGACAACACACAGACACACACACAATGCACACAAGGGTGGTTATTCAGTGGAACCTGCACCATATACATGCTTTGTTTTGGTGTGTGTGATACAATTCTGGGAGTGATTACTTGAAAAATTCAATTGAAATATGCCCTCCCCCATAGGTTTTTCCAAGCAGAAGCGAGCAACCTTGACATGTGACCTATTAACACACTTCTCCTGAAGGCTGGGAAGTCTACTTACTTCACGATTGCTTGACCTCTTGTCTGGCCATTCAGTTTCTTGTAGTGCTCAATTACTCTGTCTTCACTGGAATCAGAAGAAAAGGATTTTGTTATTAGAGACCAAGTATCTTACTGAGCTTGACCAACCTTGGGAACCATCAACTCCAGGAAAAATGATTTGTCCTGAAGTGACATTTCCAAACTCAGCTCAAGTGAAATCCCTCAGGCTATAGATTTCTTAGGGGTAGGGGTGGCTGGGCTAGCTTTCCTCTTGGAGGACCTGAATTCTCTGCAGGATTTGTGTTCTCTTTATCTTGGACTTCTACTCAGTGAGATAAGAATAGTGTCCAGAAGAAGAGGAAGAAGCAGTCAACAGACATCACAGGATGACATCCAGGGAATTTAACCTTCTTACTCTTGTCTCCCGAACCCAGTCCACATAGGCCCTAAAGGGCAGAGGAGGTTGGCTTTACCCAGTGTTCATGGCCCAACTGTTTAGAATGAATAGTCAGGAATTTAGTGCTCCTAAGGAGGATGGAAAGTTCTGGAATTTGGGCCTGGTTAACAGAAGCTGCAGGGAAACACTGGGGGAAACAACAAACCAGCTACCAGAATACGATGACAATTCCTTTATCTTTGAAATCTTAGTTCTAAAACAACAAGAGATTGGCAGGCTCCTTGGTGACAATGACCAGCCAAACTTTGCTTTGATAGGGCAGCCTGGAACAGCCTTCTTGGAGAAGTGACTCTCCTGCCCAGTGAGGTGGGAACAATGGCTGCTCCCAACCTAGGGAATCATGGGAGAGCAGTTTTAGGCAGAAGGTCTCATATCCTACCTGATGAGGAGTCAGGTGCAAAGTCTCCATGATCTAGCCACATGCCTTGACCTTGATTCTCACTCTCTGCCTTACCCTGCCTCAACCATAGGCAAAGGGACCCCTTCTATCACCTGAGGGGTGCGTGCTATGGATGCATCCTCAAGATCTCATTAATCCTTCTTTATTATCTATAATTAAGTTATAATCACCTTTCCCTATTTTCCTTTTCAGCTGGGCCATCTTTGGGGGTAACTCATTCTGTACATTCTTGACCCAGTCCTTGGTAGTAATTTACTTATCTTTCAATTATTACCTTAATCTTGAATTAATATTTAATTTCAGTGTTCTGAAATCTGATGCATTGAGAGTCAGAGATCCTCACAAGGAAGTGACCTGATAGGTTCCTAGAATGGGGACCCGCTAGCTATAAGGGGAAGGGTATTTCTCTACCTGGAAAGTTATTTCCATGGGGACTGGGGACCTGCTGTTCAGAAAGAGACAGACACAGCCATGTTTCCCCTAGGGTCCCATGCTGGGTGAAAGTTCTACTTCATGTGTGATGGGCGTCCTCTCCAGGGATAGACCCCAGCCTCACTACATCTTCCCGGTTGTGTCAGGAGCTTCTCCAGTTGCTCTTCCGGCTTCCACCCCACCCACCTATTAAGCCCACAGCTGTCTTGGCACCTTTCCTACCATGTGATCTGGGACTTAGTGAGGTCATCTCCTAGATCCAAGGTCCAGCAACTCAGTATAGATACGAGTCTATTTCTTTTCTAGCTCTGAAAAGAGAGGGTCCCTGGGGGGAAGTGGGGCAATGAAAGTTGGTACCGTGTTAAAGCTGTGAATGTGAGCAAGGCTTGGGAAAAATCAGTGAAATGAAGTCCAAAGACCGTCAGGCAGCTGTTCCTCTGCTTACCAGCTAAATGGCCTGACCACAGGGTCTCACGGTGCCCGACAGCTGCACCCTGTGTCTCCCCTGTCTGAGACCATCTGGAAGCCACAGTGGTGACCTCTTCCTGCCTCTGCTTTCCTGGCTCCTCTCTGCCCATTTAAACACTGTGCGCATCAGGTGTGATGGTGCACATCTTTAATCCCAGCACTGGAGAAGCTCAGGCAGAAGGATCTCGAGTTCAAGACCAACCTGTTACATAGGGAGACCCTGTCTCAAAAAACACCATGGGTCAATCATGTGATAACCACATGATACCAGCCGGGGCCCATCCTGCCCCCTGTCTGTCCCCAAGCTCCTTTGGAACCTACAGAGGGCTGGGCGTTCTGAGCTCTGCAGACGAGATCCCCAGCTCTCTAGATCTGTGGTAAGGACTCAGTAGAATAACCAGGAGCCAGAGTCAACTGTCTGAACCCCAAAGTGCTGCCTGCCCAGTGTTACACCGATGACCAAGGCTGAATGTGTCCTGGACACAGGCTAGGCGTGTTGTGAAGTTTAGTCAACTCTCTGCAGACAAAGGGGTGCAGGACACATACTGGTGGGGTAGGAGAGGAAAGCGGGACGGTGACATGGGTCCTGGGCTTGGAGTTGCTGCCAGCCTGCAGTGGGCATGAGTTTGGTCAAGGATGACCTGCTTGCATACACTGTAGAGGTGAAAGGGCAAGGGCCATAAGGGAGAATCCAGGCTTAGAGCCCTGACCCCACCTTGTTCTGGGGCCCTGGGCACATCACTCTAGCCTGCATCAGACACCTCCTCCATGGAGAAGTCATGTAACACGAGAAGCCCATGCTTGTTAAACGCTTGGGGAAAATTAGCAGAAAGGATGACTGCACAATGACTCAGCACTGCTCTGCACATTGTACTGCTTTCCAGTGACATGGTGTGACTTACTTCCTCTCTTAATTGCAGTCTGAAGTAGGTTAGTGCGGTTAACCCCATTTTACAGACGGAGAAGTTGAGGCAGCAAAGAATAATGACAGCTACCTAGACAGTTATAACCTTGAAATTCAGAGACTGGCTTGCACTCTGAAACCCACTGCTTTGCCCACCAGCCTGCCAGATCTGCTCTGGACTATGCAGATGGGTTACTTCAGCCCCAAGGCTGTCCACTGAATCTGTGAATGCCAGGGGGGTGGGAGAGCCTGGGAGAACTGTGGATATACAACCTCAGTTCAGGAATGAGCAGAGCCACCTGAGTCTGTGTGGCATGGAGAAGACATGATCTCCTTCACCCTAAGGGGTCATGGTCAATCTTGCTGGTGAGTGGTAATGCTGAGTTCGAGAGGAAAAAACTTAGACAAGCCTTGTCTCTGCTTCCATACTGTATCTATATGAAGCATGGATGGCATTTACCCTTTATGTCTTTGCTTTTTAAAAATTCATATAAATAGACTGAAGTATTAAAGCCACCGACAAGCAACTGACCGAAATGGGATGAGCTGAAGAGGCCTGGCGGGCTTTGTTTTTTAGCACCTCAGGAAAGGTCCATGCTACTGATTTATTCACAGCTGTGTTGTGCACCTAAGGGTATCTGGCTTTAAGGTCCTGCCACCTCTCAATGCCTTTAGACAGTGGCCTTGATGCTTGTGGGTCTGAATGAGGCCAAGGGGAAGTACTGGCCTGGTTACCAACACAAGCAATGTACTGACAAGACAGCAGAGGTATAGATGCAGGTGAAGACCTTCATGTTGACAAAAGACAGGAAGCATGGGCCTGAAGGAAGGTCTTCCTGTGTTAATAATAATTTGTGAGCACAGAGCAGCTGGTGGAGACAATGAAAGAAAGATCTAGAATCAGAGAGAGAAGAGGAGTTTATAGCTTTGAAAGGGGCTTCAGAAATGTGTTTAGCAATATTTGGAAACAAATGAACAAATTGATGATGGAGATGATGGAGGGCAATTCTGACCCCAGACAACACAACAGTACAGCTGTCTCCCTTTCTTGCATCCCTATCTCCTTCCCACTGCTTTCCTAGAAGTGACCTGCTGGGAGGGTGCAGGAGATAAGGCTCAGGGAGCACAAGGAGTTTGGAGGAGAGCCAGAAGTTTTCCCAAACAGACGCCCAAATGCCATGTTTTGGTGTTCATATGCACAGACCACAGGAACTGAAGTTTGCAAGCAGATTGTGAAAACTCCCTGCAGATTAAACAGACTTTGCTGTTTGGGTACAGATTATAGGAAGCTGTGATTCTAATGTTTGCTGAAAAATGGATGGAAGCAGTGATCATGTTAGTGAAATAACCCAGTCGCACAAAGATAAATGTCCCACGTTCTCTCTCATATGTTGAGTCTAGGAGAAACAAAACAAAACAAAGCACCCAAGTGCATGAAAGTAAAAGGGGGAATATTAGGGAGGTGGAAGGAGAAGGGAAAAGGAACGAATAATAGTAATATAGGGAGTGAGGATGATCACAGAACATTACATGCATGTATGGAATTACGATGAAACTCGTTGCTATGTATAATTTAATTTAAGTCAAGAAAAAAGAAAGAAAGCTGTTACTTATGATATCCATGCACCAGAGGAAGGGTGACAGCAGATGGTTCAGAGAGACGAAGCCACGGACTGCAGCACCCCCGTGGAAGCTCGCAGCCCAGCTCCTGGTGTCTCTCAGGGAGAAATGTTTCCATGTCAGATTTAATCTTGCCAATAAAATCTACATCAAAGACATGCCTATCCTATCTGAAGGAATCACTAGCGCCACCCAAATGACTGAGCAACTGGTTTACTGCCTAGAAGTGTCCAGACAAGATGGAATGCAAGCGATCCAAATATTTCAGAAAGCACATCAGAAGTACTTAGTGAGTCATATGGTGTGGTTTTTTGAACCAACTTATGCTGTGTGTGTGTGGTTTTTTGAGACAGGGTCTCATAGTCCATGCTGGCCTAGAACTCTCTATGAAGACCAGGCTGGCCTGGAACTGGTGATCCTCCTGCCTCAGCCTCCCAAGTGCTGGGATTATAGGTATGCCCCATGGTGTCTGACTATTTTTGTTTCACTTGGTCTAATATCCTAGGCAGTTACACTGGTTTCTGTGAAGAGGTCAGAAAGGACATCAGAAAAACAGTTCTACCCTTCTTGGAGGGCAGTAGGCAATGCTTAAGTGGCCAGCAGGATTTCAAAACACTCTCAGGAATGTCAGCCCTGCTCCACTGTGGCCCAGACCACAATCTGGGAACCTTTCAAATGCCTGAATCCCTCAGAATCAGCAACCTAATGCCTGACAGATGAACTGCGGCATAAAGTTACAGAGGAGGCTGAGTCAGGAGATACGAAACACTGAAGAAAAGGAAAAAACTGAGCTAGCCACTGGTGGCTCACACCTGTAATCATAGCTACTCAGGAGGCAGAGATCAGGAGGATTGCAATTCAAAGCCAGCATGGACAAATAGTTCATGAGACCCTATCTTGAAAAAACCCAAAATAAAAAAGAGCTGGTGGAGTGGCTCAAGGTATAGGCCCTGAGTTCAAGCCCCAGTACTGCAAAAAAAAAAAAAAAAAAAAAGAAAAGAAAAAAGAAAGAAAAAGAAAAAACCCTGTATCTCTTATTACCAAAGGGAAAAACCCCTCTGCTTTGTCCCACATCTCCAAACCTCACATACCTTGTCATCAAAGGGAAAGCTCTCCTTTTTTTTTTTTTTTTGTTGTTATTGTTAAATGAGAGGTCTCACATACAACATACCATTTAAATAAATGCAGAAAACCATGTGTGAGGCTAAGTTACTTAGTACACCGGGGTATCCAGCAGACACTTGCATGCAGGCTCAGTGGCCTGGACCCGTGCACTCCTGGGGGCCAGAGCTTGCTGCTGAGAAGACTGGGGGTCTTACCAGTAGGCCAGGGAGGGGTGCTCCTTCAGGGCTTGGGTGGGAAGGGCTGGAAGCTTCTTCAGGTCACTTCTCACCACCTCATTGCTGAAAGAGAACACCAAGAAGCAATTTACCCTCCAAGAACTGATTATTTTTAGGTATTTATTTTCTTTGGCTGTACTGGAGCCTTGCGCTTGCTAGGCAGGCACTCTACCACTTGAACCATACCTCCAGTCCTTTCTGTTTTGGTTATGTTTGAGATAGGGTCTGAAGCTGATGCCTGGATGGTGATCCCCCAACTTTGGCTCCTGAATAGCTGGATGTCAGGCCATTGATTGAGATAGGGTCTTAAACTTTTTGCCTGGATTGGCCTCAAATCTTGATCCTCCTGATCTCTGCCTCCCCACACTGTTCCCTTTTAATGGAAAGGGGTGGGAGGAAGGGCAATTTGTTGTTATTTATTTACTTAATAAAAGAATACATGCATGTCACAGGGAGCCAAGTGTAAGAAAGATCAGGGCGGAATGCTTGGACCACCCAGGACACCTTCTCAAATTCCGGGGAGGAGGAGGGTCCCCAGGTCCCCACCAGGGTAGACTCCAGGAGAAACTTCCCAGTAATGATGTCACTGTGTACTCCTGGAGCACTGTTGACCTCACTAATACACATAGCTGGTTTTCTTTGTTTAGTTTGACTACACACTGGATGCCATTTGCCTAAAGATGATAAATAAATAACCTGTGCTTTTGACAAGGCCTGAAAAGTACTTAGAAAGTGTGAAGTGGACATTTGGTGTTTTGCGCAGCCGGTTCTGGAACCAGAGTATCTATTTCCCACAGACTCACATGTACTCAGGTTTGCAAGATACTCTAAAGCCCCTTGAAGAAAAAGACAAAAGAGGAGGAATGGGAGAAGGAGGAAGAGGAAGAGAAGAACAAGAAGACTGGTTTTCAGCTAGGGATATAGCTCAATGGTAGAGTACCTGCCTATCATGTGCAAAGCCCTGGGTTCGACCTCCAGCACTGGACAAAAGTCAAACAATAACAGCAATAGCCAAACCAAACCAAACTAAAAGCCACCCACAGTTTAACCAGCCTTCTTTTATTTATTGTTATGATACTGGGGCTTGAACTCAGGGCCTACACCTTGAGCCTTTTTTAATGAAGGGTTTTTTTGAGATAGGATCTCATGAACTATTTGCCCGGGGAGGCCTCAAACCACAATCCTCTTGGTCTCTGCCTCCTGAGTAGCTAGGATTACAGGCGTGAGCCATCGGCACCCAGCTAACCAGCCTTCTTCAGATCGTAACTATTTCTCTTGACATACAGCAGCTCTGGCCTCAGCATCCCCTCAGCACCACTCACTACCTCCAGGACCATTACAGGCATCCACTTGGGGATGGTTCTGGTGTGTTTAAAAAGTCCCTCCCCCATACTGGTCCACCTGAAAGCCTCAGGATCCTGGCTGGGGTTGCTGAGGATAATTGTGAAGTCCTGCCTTTCACCCATGGTTCTAACCTGGGCTGTTAGCAGCTTGTGGCTCATAGAAAGCAAGGCAAACATTGGCCACAGGACATTAGGCAGTGCCATCCATAAATGAATGAGATAAGTCAATGAATAAACAGGAAAGAAGGAAAGGAGGGAGGCAGGTAGACCCCAGGTATAGATGGTGAGCTCCTGGGCATTTGGATAGCAAACACCCCAAAACCCATGCTGCTGGCTGGAGGATTAGCAGTTCCTTGTGTTCCCAGCAGCAATGGAATCAGCAGCTCCACCCCTGGATACTAAGTACCATTGGGGAAAACCACATCAACACACATCAATAGTTGGTGACTAGCTGCTCCTAGAAAGGAACTTTCTCCATCTTTTTTATTTCTTTTTATGATAGGCTCTCTTTATGTAGCTCAGGCTGGCCTTGAACTCATGATCATCCTACCTCAGTCTCCTAAGTGCTGGGATCATAGGAATATACCACTATGACCAGTGAAAGGGCATTTTTCAAATGCACTAAGGGACAAGGACAGTAATGTTTGTGATTCCTACCTTTTAGCAATCCAACAGAAGGAAAAGCCCAACTTGTGATTATTTGAGTCAGCATATGCAATTACTTGCAAGTTTATAATCTAAGTGGCAAGGAAAAGACTTATGGCTTCATAGTTGCTAAGGCCAAAGTATTTACGGAGTCCATCTTGTTAAATGGAAAGTACTGTCAGGGCTCCAAAGTGATGGGGACGTAGTCCTTATCCAAAAACACTCTCAGTTTAGCTGGGGAGGTGAGAGGCACACATACAAAGACAACTGAGCATATGGGCAGTGTTCAATCATATTACTTCAAACAAATTTGAAAATTCAGAGCAAAGAAAGGCCCCCTTTGGTATCTGGGCACGTGAAGAAAAACACAGGGAAATCAATCAGTTTTCTCCTTGGAGGAACACAGCAAAGTCCAGGAGGCCATGTATCTTGAATGGGAAGCAATCAATTCAAGTGGCTGCTATGAAAGGGACAATGTGGCTGAAAAGGGAGGAGAGGCTTGGAGGAAAAGGGACAGCCACTGGAAGGTTCAAATCAGTAAGGTCCTGGTGCTTAGGGAACTTCAACTGTATGTCTACCTGCATACCAGTAAGGCACAGCTTAAGCACTCATCCAGCTGGTCAAACACTTGAGAGCCTAGAATAACGGGTTTCTGTGAGTTCCCCAAGCACAGGGATTTGATTTGTGGGTTCACTGGTACCTAGGATGCTGCCTTAAATATCAAAAGGCACTTTTACTGGATACATTCTTAGTGGTTAAAAACTGTGAGAAAAGCAATTCATAAAGGAGCTGACACTTGAGGTTTGGGTTTACCCAACCATCACACCTAAAGTGTATTTGGGGACAGATAGGACGGAGGGAGGAAGGGATCATTTTACCTGCCAACCACTCATTTGTTGGCAAACAAGCTCCCCTGGTGACAGCCACAGGCCTCACTTCCTTGCTGAAACTTGCAGGATTCTCCCATTCTCCTCCAGGGCAAAGTTGCACAGAAAAACACAACAAGCAATCACAAGGGCATGAAGCTTGTCCACATCCATTAATTCTGGAAGGGATCCACAGCTCCTAATCCTTCCCAAAGGACCAGGGAGTAGAAGCGTTCTATTTGCCTTTCTGCAATGATTTAGAAGTGTCCAGCCCTGTCACTCCAGCCAAACTCCATAGCTTCCTTTCTCATTGATTGTCTCTCTGGCATTCTCCCCAGAGTTCAGTGAACCTGGTAAGTGCCAACTTAGAGCATACCTAAAACAGTTCATTGTGATCATATCCATATCCTATTTTTAGAAAAACACACAAAAAGGCTCTACTGAACCAGTTGCTGACCTGACAATAATATTCAAGTCTTTTTTTTTTTTTTTTCGGTACTGGGAATTTTTTGGGTTTTTTTGGTACTCACTCATGCCAGGCCTCACACATGCTAGGCAAGCACTCTACACTTGAGCCACGACCAGCACTTTTGTTTGTATTTTATTTTTGAGATAAGGTCTTGCTACCTGCGTGAGGCTCTCCATCCTCCTCCCTCTGCCTTTCTGGGTAGCGGGGGTTACTGTTATGTGCACCACCACACCGGCAAGTGTTTTTATTTTTAATATTAGTCGTATTTCACTCAAATACCTTAGGTAGTTATAGTTTTTCACAGGGTGGGGGAAAGCATAAAGTGAAGAAGGTTAAAATGATGCTGGAGAAAATGATTTGCAAAATCCACAATGGGTTTTCCTTTAAAACACTAGGAAATAACTTTTTCAGGAGCTTCCCCTTGGGTCAAATGAGATGCCCATAATTTGTAGGAGAAACCTGCAGCCAATAGAGCAAGCTTAGTGTGGAAGAATTCTTCCTGAAACCACTTGTTTGATTTGCCCTGCTACAAAAGTCACAGAGCACTAAATCTAGAAAGTTATGCTAGTCTATGTAACATAAGGGAATAATCCGAAACTCAGAAATGGTGACGTTATGACATCATGCTAGCAGTGGACTAACGCCTCCCTATTTTATGGACATACCATGAAGGTAAGGTTCTATAGGAAAAGGCAGTTCTTAAATAAAGAGTATTCCAGGCTCTCAAACCCTTACCCACAATTTCAAAAATCTCCAGGAAACAAACATTTCTTAACCCATTTTTTGGTAAATCTTTTTTTTTTGGTACTCAGCATCCTATGCACATTAGGCAAGGGCTCCACCACTCTAGTTATATCCTGTCCCTTTTTGCTTTGGTTATGGTCTAAAGCTTCAGATAGGGCCTCATACTTTTGCCTGGGCCAGCCTTGGATCTTCCCAAGTCCACCTTTAAAGTAACTGGGATTACAGGCATGCACCACCACATGGGGTCCAAACCTACCATTTTTATTCAAGGCTGTGTTTGACCTGTATCTCTTTCACCTGGGTGTGAGCACCCATGCTCTAGGTGTAGGAGTGCTACTGAGTGTCATTGGAGCTCTGCCCCAGCCCCTGCCAGAGTGGTAAGGACCATTCTGAATCACTGTCTCAAACCTAAGAAAATTGAATTCAGAAGCATTGAGACCCTAAAGTTTCATATATGCATCATGGCTCTGTATTCCTTTATTCAGTCATACAAAACCTAGACAGCTCTGAGTGGAACTCTGAGGGGAGCCACAGATTATTGTTCCCTGCTGATCTTTAAAAAGGATGCAGGAAACACTCTCTTTTTCCTTCCTCCATGTCCCTACTTCCTTCTTTTTTCTAAATCAAGGGAATGTTGAGGTTATAACAAGAATAATGGGAATACTTTCCCATTTCCTCCTATCACTTGCTTTTCCCCAGATGTGCAGGAAAAGCTGCATGAACTCATGGCTTGGGAGATGTCACAGGGATCTTCCACTGTGGGACAGTACCCGTGTGCATTGGAACTTCCACCATTGCATCTGACATCTTCAGACAAAGGAAGCACCTGGGGACCCTCAGAGATTTTTCCAGCATGAAAGTCTTGACTCTGGGCATGTGTCCTGGATGAGTATGCCACACCAATTTACCAATTGTACAGAAGGGCAAAGTTACAGACACACTTATGAATTAAGGTCTTCGTTTCCGATGCTAATTGTTTAATTATGTAAGTACAGA